ATTGAATAAGACACACTCACACATACACCCGCTCCACTGTGTATCGATCCAACGGTATAAACTTGATGAGGGTAGGTAAGATCGATTTTATTTTAAAAAAACATAAAAGTAAAAAATTCTTACCCCTTCAAAGGATTGTTTACCATTGGATCTCATACACTCACACTTTTTATGTATCGATTAAACGGTAAAATATTTAATGATGCCAGTTAGGATCAAATTTTTCCACAATTTCCTCAACATGATTTTATCCGAGAAGATTGCAGTTGAACCCATTAATTAGGGATGAAAAGTTTTCTTCAATGTAGAAAAAAATACACTATTAATTGTTCAATATAGAATTATTCAATAAATACTATATATTTTCTTAATGTTCATGAGTGAATTTGACTTCTTTTCTGATTTGTTAGAAATATTTCATTTTTTTTTTTTTTAAATTCTCTGTGCCGATTATATGTTGAAATATTCAATGCACGCGGTTCATGATTGGTTAGTGCCAATGCCAGAGCACGGAAGAAGTCCTATTATTTTAGATGAGAAAAATTATATTTCTTATCATAGGGATTATCTTTTTATTAAACATTTAATATTTTAAAATATACCACAAATATTACATAATTCGAGGTTGGAATTTATTTTGTACTAGCTCACCTAAGAAAACTACAAACACTACAAAAAACTGATGAAATTTCAACGAAAATATATTCTAATAAAATTCCAACGACAATTCCAATGGATATTTCAATGCTATTATTTTCGTTGGAATTATTCCACAACAAAAATATTCCTTTGAAATGAGTTTTCCATTGGAATTTCTGTTGGATTTTGACGATTCCAACGGTGGTAGAAATAAAAATTCCGACGGAAATTGCATATTCCAACTGATATTTCTACGGTCAAAAGCCGTTGGAATCATCGAATTCAATCTAAAATTCTAATGAAAATACATTTCAACGGAATATTTTTGTTGGAATTTCCGTTGGAATAATTCCAACGGAAGCTATACCATTGAAATATCCATTAAAATTTCTATTGGGATATATTACCATAAGATTTTCCGTTGGAATATAAAACTTTTTTTGTAGTGAAACAATACACGTGTTTTATAATTTCAAGAGTCTTATTAGACACTCATAAAAGTTTAATTTCTACATATGAACTACCCTTAATTAGAAACTAACATATTAAATTACTAACAAAAAAAAAAAAAAAAAAATTGATCCATAAGATATGAAAAGCACCTAGATTGAAACTTAAACTTGATAAGCTCCACATTTATAAAATTACCAAACCATTTGGATTTTATTACATGGAGTCATCTTAGAAACAATATATATAGCAAATTGTGTATAAATTATTTTGAAAATTAAATGTTATCTCAATGTAAAACATTATTTAAAAAGTGGAAAATAACTTGGTGGAATATGAATTATTTTTTAGTTTGTGAACTTGGATAAGATACAATGCAATAATTAAGTTTGATAGGATAAAAGAAATAATAAAATAATAACTACATATGATTGTTAGTTAAGAATTTGACGATTAAATAAATAATAATCTTAATGCAAAAGTGTAGCTAGTAATGATCGATTTATGTTTTTTCTTGTTTTTTATTATTTTATTATTTTTTATTTATTATTATTATTATTATTTATTTATTTATTTATTTATTTTTTTGCGTTGATAAGGATGAGAATAAAAAATTGAAGTATGTGAGGAAATTATCCAATGAGATGAACTTGGATTAGTGTCGTAATATATTGAATTGTTAACACCCCCTGTTTATTTTATATAATCCATGAAAAAAATAAAGAAAAGAAAAGTGTTTTTTTTTTTTCCCGAAACGATGAATTTCATAAATAGATAAAAAGAGTACAGAGTTACAGTCAAACTGAACAGAAGCCACACTGCAAATTGCAGATGAAAAAAACACTAAGAACTGGAGACCAAAACATGTTGGTCTAGGAGAGATAAAGGGACTAATAGCACATCTTTAGGGCAGTACATAGTACTGAGGCCCGAAGAGTTGCTACAGCCAAAACAATGAAACTAGCAACTGAGATAGACCTTGCTAGCAAAAACCAATAACTGAGATAAACCTTGCTAGAAAAGAAAAGTGTTGATCACACAAATCTGATCAACCCAAAGCACCGATTTAGTGTCGATAATTAAATAGTTAAACTATTAAAATTCAGTGTTTAACGATGAAAATGAATAAAAATGAGGTCGGATTAAGGTCGAACCACCGTCTTTAATGCTATATTTGGTGTTCGAATATTTGTCTTTTATTACCAGAATTTTTTCCGAACCCTTTCCCAAGAGATTCTTAGGACTATTAATAGTAAATATTGTTGGGATATATAAGGATCTCGTTATGTACAAGTCACGAATTCAATATCAAAAGTAAATCTATGCCCACCGGATCTAAAGGTTTGACGTAGAAAACTTACGGCTTAAAAAATTCTGAATCTGATGGATTGAATTAGATGGGTTGACTGGGATCAGCACGTCGGAGTTACCGAGATCACGGGGGTGGCGGAGATCGGCGGCGTCGGGCTCGCGGTGGTGTTGCGGTGGTCGCCGGGCGGATCGTCGCGGAGTCGCGTGCCGCCATCGGCTGGTCGCGATCGGCGTCGGTTGGCGCGGCGGTGATCCGGCGGGTTGTGGCTCGTCGGTAGTGGTCCAGCGGGTCACGGCTTGTCGGCTCCGGTAGATGATCACGATGTCTCGGTTACCTCAGGATTTTCTACTATATCACTCAAACACCTCTTCAACCCGTATCGGTGGAGCAATGAGAAAAGGATAAAACTCAACTGGAATTCTAGAGAGAGAAGAGCGTACAATAGCACGTAGGAATATCTGATCTCTTTTATTTTTATTCCATGAGCTTAATGATGTATATATAGAGTTACAATAGGGATCCTTAGGAGAACATGATTAGAGCTTTTTAATTATTGGACTAACTGTGGGCCAAGTCCACTTCTCCAATTACTTAATAATATTACGGTTCACTACCATAATATTATTGCACTCCCTTTTCCTACCCCGAATTACATTTGAGACTCCAATTATAATTACCCCAATTACCTCCTCATGTTTAAGATATAATGTCCATTAATTAATTCGATTATTGATAATTAAGAATTAATTAATATATTATGTTACCAAAGCTAGCGCTCGTTCATTCATTATTATTATACCGGAACTTAATCAATCTGCAGGGTTTAGCATAACAATCTTTCATGAACTCACTTCAGAGACATCATCAAACTAACGCCATGGTGACCGTAAATATATTAATTAACAGTCGAAGAGGAAGGGCTTCTCTATTATTAGTGGAGCACATCATAC